CCCTCCATCATACATTACATACATACATACATACATACATACATACAGACCATACATACATATCATACATACATACATACAACATACATACATACATACATACTGCATTACATACATATATAACATACATACATACATACATACATACATACAATACATACATACATACATAACATACATACATACATACATACATACATACATACATTTCATCATACCATAATACATACATTAATACATACATACAACATACATACATACATACATACGATACATACTAACATACATACATACATACATACATACATACTACATACATCACATAATACATACATACAAATACATAACATACATATACAGAATACAATACATACATACATACATAATCATACATACATACATACATACAGCCATACATATCATACATGCATAGCATCAACATACATACATACACATACATTACAACTACATACATACATACATACGAATAACATACATACATATCATCTGACGATATGATACATGCATGCATACATGCATGTGCATGCATGCCATACATACATACATACATACATACATACATACATACATTACATACATACATACATACATACATACATACATACATACATACGATACATAACATACATACTAATACATACATACATACATACATACATACATACATACATAGCAATACCATACATACATACATACATACATACATACATACATACATAAATACATACCATACAATACATTACATACATACATACAGTACAATACATACATACATACATACATACATACATACATACATACATACAGTACATACATACATACATACATACATACATACATACATTAACATACATACATACATACAATACATTACATACATACATACATACAATACCATACATACATCATATACATACATACATTATCATTACATACATACATACATACATACATACATACATACAATACATACATACATACATATACATACATACATACATACATACATAGAAAAAAAAAATACATACATACACTATCCATAGTACAACAGATAACTACTACGATAGCGAGTACTATACGACGTATACATACATACATACATACATACAAGTACATACATCATATCATGACATTACATACCATACATACATACATACATACATACATACATCTACATAACTACATACAGTACATTAAACATACATATCAATACATAACATACAAATACAATACATACATACATACGATACTACATACATACATACATACATACCATACATACATACATACATACATACATACATACATACATACATACATACATAATACATAACATACATACATACATACTATACAGTTACAATACAATACTACGCCGCAAGCCGACGCACGCACAACACTGCACGCACAACGCACGCTACACTGCATGCCGCACACATACACGCGCGCGCATATCGTTTTGCTACGCATCGTCGTGAACAAAACACTATCTCACTAACCGTCGCGGTGCGAATAGTTGATCGCAGTTGTATATCGATTCAACATTTCACTTTTAATACCTTTTTCATGCAAAAAGTCAAATCGGCGTTGTTTGAACTTTGTTTTACTGATTTCACTAAAAACACAATCGATTGTGATTTTAATTTCAACTAGACGGTGCGTCGTCAGTCGAATCTAAAGCAGAAATAATATGAAAAATATATCATATATATTAATATAAATATATATAACAGAAATGAACTCGCCAGATTTTGAGCATCAATGTTACTCTAACTAGTATAACTGCTGTAGTCAGCAGCATATGTTACTTTGAATCCAATCAGCAAAGCAAAACACTTAATTTCATTCTCTTTGCACAATTACAGTGAAACCGATTTCGGTTTACGAAGCAAATATGAGAAACACTGTGAGATGGCTGAAACACGTGGAACGATCAGGACGATGAACGGGCGTTCTTTAGTACCACGCGCGTGGGTAACACTGCCCCGAACCCGCCCTAGAACTCAGCTAACGTGAAAGTTAAAATAAATCTACCTGCTAAACACTTATGCGAACGGGACGAAACAGTCGCGATTGATTCCAAGTAAGGTTGAACAGTAGCACGTCTCTAGTTCCACGGGAGGGCAAACACCCGCCGCGAAGGCGTGCGCCAGGACATACTGCGACTGCCCCTTGAAGCATATATGAAAGAATGTTCATAGAAAGAGTTTGATACGCCAGCAGGTAGCCGAGGCCTCGCGCCACACGCCGACCGTGTCGTGGTTAGACGTCGGCAACGCTCAGCAGCATCAATGATGAAATAGGAGCCAGCCAAACGAAGAAACGCCAGACGACAATGGCCAAACGATGCCTGGATTGCTTGCAAATTCTATGCTTCAGATGCTGTGGCGGGCTCCGGAGAGAAGGGATTTTCCGGTCGCTTCCTGCCCCTGCGAGCCGCTGCCCTGCTCGCGGTCCGGGTGGATCTTGCTGCTGATCAGTGCCTGGCAATCATCATGTAGTAAGCGTAGATGGAGATGATGGCGACGCCACACGCACCAGTGACTAGACGAGCTAACAGATGAGCTAGATGTTCTACTCGTGACGGTGTCATACATGCACGGTTGATCCGGCTGCCAAGGGTTGCCAATGGAGACTTAACAACGCTTACGAAGACGCGCAAACCCTCCAAAGCCAGGACTACAATTAACAAGATAACGCGCGCGGTGGCGACGATCTGTAGTAATGTAGCGGTCGCGAGTATTGCAAATGATATCCTGCTCTACGTTGCATGCAATGAGAGAGTTTGGTTGAATGCAATGGCCGAAAAAGCGTAACCACAGCGCAATTGTCCAAGGCGATATTGATCTTATGCGGGCGGAATTCGATTAGAAAGCGTTCATTGGTACGATGAAGAAACTGCTCGGAACGCCCATGACTGAAAATGCAGCGACAGCCCAAGCTTTGCGATTCAGCATTGTGCGCCGGCCCTCCTGCAGGTGTGATCGTCCGTGTCACCAGCCACGCAATAACGAAAAGATATAGCAAATATTCGCTGATCATGTTGAGCAGGAAATCAGCAGGTAATCGATCACTGGCTGAATCGCTTTAAAGCGTTTTCTGTTCAACGTCCGACTCCATGCAGCCGATCACTGCCCATTCTTGGACACGAACCATTGCACAGATATTGCACAGTAAACCATTAGGTGTCGCCATGATGCAGAAATGCAATCTCACCACGCCAGCTCCGTATCGGCTATATAATGGCGTGCCTCTGCCGCTTCGCATTACAGTTATATGCATTTTATTACGTAATAATGTCGACGTCTCGGCTCGCCTCCTCCTCAGCAATTCTATTTTCTGAACATCCACAGAAAGCCTGCTAATTATACTAATCACATGCCTGTGTGTGTGTGTGTGTGTGTGTGTTGTTCTTTGTGTTATGTGTGTGTAGTGTGTGTGTTGCTGTGTGTTTGTGGTGTGTGTATGTAATGTTGTGTGTGTGTGTGTGTGTGTGTGTGTGTGTATCGGTGGAAGGTACTGGTGAAAAGCATCCGTGGAAAGTATCGGTAGACGTTTACTTCTGGACGCGTTCTTGTGTGAATCTCGTGCTATATACTATTCGCTGTGCCCTTGAAAATTTGTTGTACGTGGAGTTGTTTCCCCGTTTCGTAAGTATCGGTGGAAAGTATCGGTGAACGTTTGCTTCTGAACGTGTTTTTGTGTGAATATCGCGCTAAATTAATATTATTCGCTGTGGCATTGTAAATTTGTTGTATGTGGGGTTGTTTTCCTGTTTCGTAAGTATCGGTGGAAAGTATTGGTGGAAAGTATAGGTGGATAGTATCGGTGGAAAGTAACGGTAGACATCTACTTCTGGACGCGTTCTTGTGTAAATCTCACGCTAAATATTATTCGCTGTCCCCTTGTAAATTTGTTCTACGTGGAGTTGTTTCCCTGTTTCGTAAGTATTGGTAGAAAGTATCGGTGGAAAGTATCGGTGAACGTTTGCTTCTGGACGTGTTTTTGTGTAAATATCGCGCTAAATAACTATTATTCGCTGTGGCCTTGTAAATTTGTTGTATGTGGGGTTGTTTCCCTGTTTCGTAAGTATCGGTGGAAAGTATCGATGGAAAATATCGGTGAAAAGTATAGGTGGATAGTATCGGTTGAAAGTATCGGTAGACATTTACTTCTGGACGCATTCTTGTGTGAATCTCGTGCTAAATACTATTCGCTGTGGCCTTGTAAATTTGTTGTACGTGGAGTTGCTTTCCTGTTTCGATAGTATCGGTGGAAAATATCGGTGGAAAGTATGGGTGGAAAGTATCTGTGGAAATTACTGGTGGAAAGTAATCGATGGAAAGTATCGGTAGACGTTTACTTCTACTAGCGTTCCTGTGTGAATCTCGTGCTATATACTATTCGCTGTGGCCTTGTAAATTTGTTGTACGTGGAGTTGTTTCCCTGTTTCGTAAGTGTTGGTGAAAAGTATTGGTGGAAAGTACTGGTGGAAAGTATTGGTGCAAAGTATCGGTGCAAAGTATCGGTGCAAAGTATCGGTGATAATTATCGGTGGAAAATATCGGTGGGTAGTATCTCTGGAAAGTATAGTCGGATATTTCATTTCTTCACGCGTTTTTTCGCCAGATTTTGCTTCTTTGGAAGGAACGCGTTTTCCTGTGTCGTCGTCGGTGTTGTGTGTGAATTTTAATAAGGCCTATGCGTAAAGCCGGCCATAAGTCGGGTTGCGATTGAATGCGACGCGACGCGACGCATTGCATTTCACAGCGACAGTGAGTCGACAGCGACGCAACTGACAGCGACGAGCAGCGACTTACACTGGCAGTCGCAGGCAGTTGCAGAAGGCGCTAGGTCGATGTAACGATCGCCTATCGATCGCGCAACTAAATGTGTTTACATGACTTGTTACTTTGTGCATGTTGTGTAGATGACTGTGTGCACTGATTGTTTCATTCGCATTGTTCGCTTTTATGCATTGTTCATTATGCATTCGAATCTCGTCGCAGCGGTCGCAAGGCAGCTTATGTCGGGTAAAACAATGCAAGCGAAGGGTGGAAACAGTCGCGTCACGTCGCAACATTAGAACATGCGTTACTCGCGCTGAGAGGGTTTATGTCCTCCAGGTTACGGCCGGAACGTACCCTGGTACTAAATACTACTATCTAATATGCCAGACCGTACCTCGCCTACTCCACTAACGAGTCTAGGGAGTCGCTTACGCCTACTCTCTAACCCTAACCCTAACCCTAACACTAACCCTAACCATAACCCTAACCCTAACCATATCAGTTAGATAGTTACCAGGGTACGTTCCGGTATAACGGTCCGTACCCAGGGTACGTTCCGGCAGTACCATGGAGGACATAGACCCTATGAGCGTTACTCGCGACGACTGACAATTTTCCAGTCGCTGAGCGTCGCAGACCCATCGCCGGCAGTCGCAGGAGTACTTAGACCGAACTGTCCCTGCGACGCGATCGCACTCTAAGTGTCGGTCAGTGAAAAAAACCTGTACTAATTGTTCACACTAGTACGTTAACGATGCAAATAGACAATTGTAAACAAAAACGTCAAAAGAATTGTAAAGACAATCGAAAACAATTGTAACGCGTACGCTGCTTTACTGGGAAAATATACACTATAATTGTAGTATCGTCACTCACAATAAGCCTATTTTAGTTGTTAGCGATTATTGCTTCGCTACTGTCTCGTTTCCCCTTATTTAATTTTTATTATTATTATTATTATTATTATTGTTGTTGTTATTTTATTCTGCTCTGCATCCATTATTTCCCCGTGTCTACTTTCTCTTCCCTGTTTCCACGACTCTTCCCTCCAGTAGCAATCATCCACCCGTCTACCTCTGTAGCCTCAACAGGAGCCTACACGAGTAGATAGCTAGCTTTAGCGAAACCCTGTTGTTACCAACAAGGTCAACGATGAAGTGCATCTTGATACTATATATATATATAAAGCGCGGCGGTAGACAATAGTAAGCATTTTCCAGCTTCGCTATACGTCCCTGCTCCAAATTACATCACACCGTCGGATAGAGTAGAACGACATTCATCAGCACAGATAGAACGACATGCCGCAAAACAACAGCGATAGCACGCCCGCGCCAAACACACACACACACATACACACACACACAACCAAACACACACACACACACACACACAAACACCACACACGCACCGCACGAACCACCACCACACCGACCACACGCACGCACGCACGCACACACGCCAACACACACAACACACACACCACACACACACACACACCACACACACACACGCACACACACGCACACACGCGCGCACACACACAACACACACACACGCGCGCGCACATGTAACCGAGAACGGTACGGACAGGAACGGACAACCGTTACATAATAGACCGACACCGGGCAGTACTAGCCGAGCGACGCAAATAGCAGGACATGAGTGACCTAGTAGAAGCGAAACAAAGGAGGGTAATAATAGGCAAAGAGGAGAGGAGGCCGATACGCCCTTCGACCCAAAAGCACGGGTCGCGCGCGAACACGGGGTAAGATAAATAAGCCGAATTTAACAGAGTAGGGAATAGAGAGTGTGCTGGGACCAGCCGTGACGAAGCTGAACAAGACTCCTCCGACGAGATGGCATAGACGTAACTATGGTTTTTCTTTGTATGTTAGTTGGTTGTATAGACTGTTTAGATTGTTGTTAGAGTAAATGGTATAGAATTTGAACGGGACAGTATGGTGGGTCAATAATACAGTTTAGCGTTGTTGGCAGTAGATGTGTCGCGGAGATGATTTAAGCGAGACGTACGGGTAACGACGTTAGTAACAGCGATTGTAGGCAAGCGCTGTGTAGTTATTAGAATACATGACGAATCGACAACGAGTGGGGTGTTGGGATTGAAGTGTACGGTGATGGGGGGATATTGATTAATAAATACTATGTGTGTGTGTATCATATAAATTACTGTGTTGCGTTGTATATCACGGACTGGTTTTTATATCCTCGGGCCGGGTTATTCCCTCACGGGGTACTAAAACAGAGATACGATCACGCCGTCACGCGTGGGCTTAAATAAAGAAGCACGCGGTGACATAAAATGATGCCGGAGTGACCAGGATATAAAATTTCAGTCACGTGATACGTAGCGCTAACGCATGAGTGATCTAATCCGATTGTTTTTCAACAGTTAATGCACATTCCGTTTCAGAAATCGCAGGGCCAGGTAACGGGTAGTAAGGGGTTTGAGGTAGGCTATTTTTGGGGACGCTAGATCTAGGGCGTACGATGGCGCAAGCGATAAATATGGGGGATATCGTTCAGATTATGGGACAATTAAGCGCTTAGTCCAGTGGTAAGGGAGATAAGAGATGAGATGAAACTACAGGGGATACGACGAGAAATACGGAAATTTACGGGGGATGCGAAGGTAGATAGCATGAAATTTAGAGAATATGAGAGGCAGTTAGAGGGAATAGGCGCTCGGCTGGGGGCAAATGCAGATTTAAAGGAGGTGCTCTTGATGACGACGGCAGGGTCGGCATACGATTTTTGCATCCGACAACCAAGGGAGAATGCGGCGATA